TTTTATTTTATGCAATTATGTCTTGGTATTTAAAGAGATTAATATTTGTCATAGTATAGTATAAGAGATGATATGATGATATGCCGACCTGTTTGAACTCTTGAATATTTTGTGAAGTGATTTATATTCAAAACTTTATTTGATCTTTTTATAGAATACGTTATGTTTCTGTGATCGTTACGTATGATAGATACCGGAATACCTAAATATATAAAAGCTCTCGATCGTCGGTACGGATATGATTGAATTGGATATATACTATTTTAGTCATAGTTAATATCAATTATATTAATAGATTTTGTATTATGTGCCTTCCTATTGAGACAATAATAGATGATGTCTGTGCAAATATCATAGGTTTTAAATTAGGAATAGCATCTATAATTCATACAAAAATGAACAAAAATATTACATCGAAGTTGCATTAATATTCTCTCCAATATTTCTTTGTAATGCCGAAACTATTCGTGAATATTTTCTTCTGTTATGTTAAGTATATTACAGTTAACATCAGTTTTTAACTAATAATTACCATTCATAAGGTAACAACCGCTATTTATTATCATGCATCGTCAGAATCGGAATATTTTAGTTACCAATAAAATAAATTCCAGTTCGGAAAGGTGTAGTAAAAGTTTCCAGCGGTCTGGAGCCAATAATAACATAAAATTAATCACCTTTCCGATCGACCGGTGACCGGTAACCCCCTGTCACCCCTCAGAGGACACAATAAAAAGCCGTCAAAACGCTCTGAGTCCGGCTGTCAGTCCGTCTGTGTCAATCAAGTAGACAAGCGTAAAGCGCAGAACGCTACGCAACGTCAAATATCCGACTCCGCCCTATATTGATCAGGCCCGCCCAGTTGCGCTGAATTTCGTGGTGCGCGTTTTGCACAATCTACTCTTCCATAAGCTTCCAAGTTAGGAGGTGGCTGGTATTTAGGATTCACTAAAAACCTTCAACCGAACGGATTTTGTTGTATACAAACATATTGAGAGTTAAGATCTACTGTTTAAGAGAGAGTTCGAATGATGACGATGATCAAGTTATTTTTATTATAATAAACGTTTATAACATAAAAGATACATTCAAAAATCAAAGAGAAATTTAATAGTATTTTGTAAGATGACGAAACTCTAGAGAAGTTTTGTTTTCTTCAAAAATCTTAATGTTTTTTAAATGTCTTTTGTAGTTTTCATGGTATCAAATTAGTTAAACCATGTAACTACAAAATACTAAGTAAGACCTATTCAAGTTCTTTCCCTAAAATACGACACGAATCTGAATTAATTTATAAATAATCAGGAGTGAAAATGGCTTCAGTGTTTGAAGTGCCCACAGTAATGAGTTTCTTTCGGTAATTTTCTTAATTCAAGGAATGGGGAAGTAGCGCCACCTGGCGGTGATGTTAAAATCTCGCTTTCCTAAGTAACAAACCCATTGGCAATAACAATTAACTCTTAACGGTTATTGTTAGAGCCAACCGCTAATGCAGAGTGTTATTCGCCGTCGGGATCTTCTAGAAGCTTTACTGAGACAGTAATTTTATACATTAATAATTAATTGCTATCATACAACCTATTTTAAACGTGCAATAATAATATAACAACATTAAGACAATGTTTACTAAAAGATCTTACAAAGCAATATATTCGTATTTAATTAGTTACTGTTACTTTAATAATCGTATATAGCAAAGAAATAGATACTGTGGTGTGCTAAAAGATTAAAAAAAATTAATGATTTAATTTAAAAATAAAACAAAGCTTAAATACAAAAGAGAATTAGTTAGAGAAAATAGGTATAATCTAAAGTGGGTAACACATCAAGAACACATATTATAATAAATTTACACAAAGACATAGCCTTATTTGTGGCTATCACAAACGTAATTACACCGCTTTAAATAAAGCCTTCTTCGTATAAATGCATAACTAATGATTTCAGCAATTTCCGAACATTAACACTCGGATACACTTTGTAGGCACATGAATGAAATACATTGATATCTATTTTAAAATTATAACGACATAAATACCACGTAATAATTAACTTACTCTTCCTTACAAATGACAGCATGTTTTTCTTCTATTTGTTATTCTTCTTGTTTCTATTTCTACTTCATTTAAGTATTTCCAAAGCATACCTAGACCATTTAATAGGATTTTCCCATTATGTTAAGCCGTTCTAAGTTAATTTTTAAATAAAAGGAACTACGGCATTATGATAATTTCCCTTGTGTTGTTTTTCATGTGGTTATCTGTGAGAATTAGTACTAAGTTACAAAATAATACTTAGTTTTTTTAGTAATTGTAATGCTAATAGTATCTGATAGAGATTGATACTTCCTTTGTTTAATTTTCAGCCGGATATTAAGTTCAAATTTTCATAATAATACATTTTCTATTTTTAGTTATTTAACAATATTATAACCTTAAGTATTTTGTGACAGGTAGGTACTTATAACTTTAGATATATACATTTATCAGACCCTCTCCCAAATACGCGTTTTAAAACGACCGATAGAGTGCACGTAATTATCAATTCACAAAATCCAGCTCGCATCCGAGTCTTTTACAAGCCCCCTCCAATCCCTCTAAGCTCCGATGACGCCCCTAAACAACTCTCTCCGAACATTAAATACAATATCTTTAAATTGCTTCTAAGTACCGCCACCCTCATTGGGTATTTTTATCGTCATTACCATAATCTCTATTTAGTTGTCTCGTTCGCTCTTTTGTAATTGCCGAATTTTCCTCTCATTTTATCATAGCCTTAAACTTGTACGTTAAATTTAAGGCTCATTCTTATGATTTACGTAAGATTGTTCGCAGCTCTTAGGCGCATGACATGATTATGTAAGTGTAATTGTGGGAATTAGTGGGAGTGTTTTGTACATATATATTTTTTGAAAAGTTTTAAACTTTCTGCTTCGTGTGAAATTGTTCAGGTGTTCAAAATACTCCTGCATGTGAATTAAATTGTCTGTCGCCAATAACAAGTAATTACACTGTAAAGCTGAAGGAGGGTAGTGAAACTAAAGAATACGTCCTGATAGTTTTACGACAAGTAACACCATTATATATACAGACAAAATATTTAATGAAATAATTACGGAGCATTACGTACAGAAAAGTAGATAATTGAATTACAGTAAAATTATTTAATTCAGAGATTATTTAAAATAAAACTGACCATCATATGTGGTAATGCGGTTTATTATTTTAACTAGTTGTTATCAATATATTTATGGTTTAATATCAGAAATATTTTAAACCAACGTTCAGAATTTTAAAAATCAGGTGGTGGGGAGGCGAGTAGGGTGAACCCTACCTTATTTAGTCACGCCATTTAACAGGCGCGGCAAAGGGCTAAGAATTAATTATTAACGCTGCTACGAACTGAGTCGTGGAAGATGTCACAGTGTACTGGACTCTGCCGTGTTTCAAGTTTATCGGGTACAAAATTTAAATATCACTCGTTTACTTTATAAGCTATATTAATATTAAATATAAATGGAATAATTTAAATAAGCAACGCGCTATGATTGAGTGCGTTGATTTAAATAATTATAATAATATTAAATTTATATTAAATTTTATTTAACTGATATTAATAATGTGTTTTGTTTATAACAATAAGTATTGCTCGGTGTTTTCTTTACATGGGTAGAAACCTTCGAAACTGCTTAAGACGTTGAATCCATATATTTGTCTTTCTTATTTATGAATCGGACGCTTACATAATAGAGTAATATGTGATTCAACGACGTACGACGAGACTGCACGGCTAAGTTTTTTATATACGTATACGAGAAAAATCATCAACAGACATGAAAAAATTTACAAACTGATAAAAAACAGTAATCCTCAGAAATAATGCATAAATTGATATTGAAACAGTGTAATCAGTAATAAAGTTTGTACCTATAATGTTTTTCATTGAAATCATTTATTTCAAACTGCAATTAATTGGAACAATTACCCGACTGGAAAATAGTGATGATTTAAAGCGACCAAAGTAAGTTAAATCACCACGTGTTCCAGTGCAATTATTTTAATAAACCTGCATTTCCCACAAATAGAATTCTTTAATAGGATTTAACGTGTACTCATCATTGTTAATTATCCGGTATATTTGTTTTTTGCTGAAGTATTTTTTCTCAATAAATACATATCGTCTAAATATGATTTGAAATTTCATATAAAAGTTCGATAAAAAAGTGTAATCGCTATGATATTAATTGTATATTCATGTTAACATGCTAATCAGTTTAGCAAAAAGTAATTCCCTTTTACTTTTAAAATTTACTTCAAAAAAGAAGGTAATAATAAGCTCAGTAAGCTAAAATTACATATAAAAGTTCGATAAAAAGAGGTAACTCACTGATATTAATTGTATATTCATGTTAAATGCTTATTAGTTTAACCAAAAGTATTTTCCTTTTACTTTTAAAATTTACGTTAAAATGAAGGTATCCATAATAAGCTACGAACAAATTGTGTTTTATTAACTCTTATTTATTCCTTAGAAGTCAAGGATACTTTATTATTCTAAAACGAATTAGAAGTAAAATTGAGTGGTTTTAACTTAACAACAAAAAATTTCAATTAACTATACTGAATCAAGATTTTTGCTAGAATTGTATTCTGCTAGACCTAATGTTTGTTATTTCCTTACTAATAATTTAATAAAATAACTGAATAATATGAAAGTATTTTTTAAAGAAACACGTTAAATTACAACCGGTGACAATTGTGCTAACGTAAAATTTAATAAATTTATAGGTATGTATAAATCAACAATTTAAAACATTCTGCAAAAATTTGTCGGTTCAAAGAAAATATCTTACCTATAGATTTAAAAAAAAAATACCTATGACCTTTTAATCATACATAATAGTACCTGATTCTTTAACTGAATACAGGTATTAAGATTAAAAATTGTATATGCATGAATGAACTTTGTCCTCTAAGATAGCTGAGATTTTTCTTTTGCAGAGTCGAATACTGGAGGATGCATCATTGATGTGCAACTCGTGGTCACCGCGTCACAATGTAAGTTTTATTAATACAAAGATTTTAATAATTTACTCTATTAGAACACTACTCTCTTTAGCCTTGCGAAAAAAGCTTGCGGTTATCTTTGGCCAAAGATATATTTGTTATTTAGTTTAATATGCTAAGCGAGTTTTATAACAGGTATGTATTCATAGAAGGTATGTACGTAGTTTTTACTCTTATAATTTGCTTTAGTTATTGTAGATTGTAAAATTATAAAGAATTACAAATCAAGATGGCATGATGGAAACAAAATCTAATAATTTGAGTAATAATTTATCACTAGGTAGTAGTTAAAGGCACCTTGACATAATACTACAATTGTAGCAAAAACATTATTCAGAGCTCCTTAAACGAAAATAATTAAAAATATATTCAAACAAATACATATTCAAAATCATTTATACGTCATATATTACGTGAAGTCTTGATAGTGTTGTCAAAATAGGCCTCAGTTATGATTCAGTTGTTATTAAACCAGCGTGTCACTATCAAATCGAATAAGAAATGAATACAACACACCGTAGATTGACATTTGGATTTTTCGATTGTAAAAAACGAAGGGTAAAATGTTAATTAATATACTCGCCAATATCGTGATATGTCAGAAAAATCAAAGCACTGATTTATAAACTAATGTGAAACTGATTGTATTATTTCAATTAAATGTTCATGCATTTATAATTGATAACTAGTTATTGACCTATCGGTATTTCAGACGGTTCATTACTCAAGGTTACACCGTATATCTCAATCTTTAATGAAATTTAAGTTTTATTTGTACTTCTTATTAGATTTTGTCTTTTTTTTTAATTTTTATACCAAGAAATGCGTTTAAGTAATTATTGTTATATTGTAGTTTTGAATCATGAAAAGCACTTTCGTTTATTCAAAGTCACAGAAATATTAATCAACCAAAACGTCAATATTTTTTAAATTAATATAGATTTATCAGACCAAAGTCTAAGCTGTTATAATTTAAAACTCAATTACAAAAGTCATAACAACTATCATAAAGAATTTCTGCCCGAAACAATAATTAATCTTAAACTTACAACGTCATTATCCAAATAAATTTTTTCTACAAAAAATCTTAAGCCGCGGAAGCGACCAGTGATAATATTTAATTCAATCAGCAACCACTCATGCGTTCGTGTGCAGTGTAATCGGGCAGGGGTCGCACACCCCGCTTTTAGTTCTCTATGACACTTGATACCCACATTACGCGGCTCAGATGTATCTGGGGATGAGAAGATGTCGCCAGTTAACCCTAAAATGAGAACGTTGATGAGTAATAATAGTAATGGATTATTTCAGTGCTATAGGGATTGTTTGGATGTGCCTTTGTTCCTAGTTTATGTCTATGCTTTACAGCCTGAGTTGTAAATTGAGCAGTCACTTTGTTCCATTATGTGTAACGTTTAATGGACGAAACAATTATTCACAAACAGTTGATTGTTGGGCTATGATTTGCTAAATAAGTTGTCGTACAGATAATACACCAATATGTGATACATTCACATTTACACATTTATTTTTTCTGAATTACATTACTTTTATATCTTGCCTTCTACTTAAATCAGTAAAAAAATATAAATAAATATTATAATATCAAGAATAGGATATAAATTTTGTGGTAAAACGTAAATAAAATTGGATACCAGTATAAATGTTACATCTCATAGTTTTGATTACAATTAAGTATTTTTTTATCCAATTTACATTTCTAAACAACATTAAGAAAGTACTGTTCTCGCGTTAAGTAAAAAGGTAAGCAATGTACTTTAAATGTATGATTCCCCGGGCACTTGAGAACAAATTATAACATTCATATAGAAGCGGGGTCAATTTGTTTAGCAATTACAATTTGAGAAGGGCATGCAGAATCACTTCAGTAACACGATGCTAATGTTTCGGGATTCGTGAAGGGTGTTTGGACAATTTTTATTCCCACGCTTAATTGTTGTTTTTTATATATCTCTTTTTCAGTTGACGGTTCATTTAAATAGGATCTTATAATAATAATTATCTAATTTTGAAAAAAAAATTGAAATCTAAAATTGTTTTATATTTTTGTGAACCTGAAATATAATTGTTTCTATTAAAAAGGTTTATGACAGACAAATGTCTAATAATTCGTCAAGTATTGCCTCATATCGTGCCTTAAATTATTAATCGAATGTTCATAATACACGGTATCTAAAACCAAATCATGATAAAAATCGAAAAAAGAACACAAGATATCTATTTACATGTCTATGAGCGGAGAAGGCAATATAAAACCGTCTATTCAGATGCAAGGTTCGTCTTAAAACGGGATGGTAAAATAAAACCTGCAAACGGGTGTACCACCGGTAAATCGAAAAAAGGAACTATTACTTTAAAAGTGTTCCCTGGTTTTCTAAACTGCCTATTTGAAAGTCGGATCGCGCGCTAGGTATCTGTCGAGAGCGAGGAGAGAGCATGGAACCGAGTAACGAGTTACAAAGTAACTGGAGGTCAGAGTCACTCATAAATAATTTAAAGTAATCCGGGAAAAACCCCTGTCCGCGGGCCGACGGTTGAGCCGCCATGACTATTTGATGTGGCCAGCGTATTACGTCACGCGAATTAGTGTTGCCTCTTTGAACTAGCTACTTTAGTGTTGTACTTTATAGAAAATTTGTTTAATCTTCAGCTTAATCTCTGTGTACTTTGATGTTTTTGGACTATGATATTATATAAGAATTCACTTAGAGCATGTAGCATTTTATCACATAGTTTTTGTTTCAAAGGATTTTTAATACATTTATTTACTCTACATATTTAAAGAAAATTTTAAAGTAAGGTGAGTGTAAAAAATATTACAGTAGGTAACTATAATAATCTAAGTATTTATATATTATAAAAGTAGATTACTTTAAAACTACGACCTAATTCGGAAATATTTGTTCATAGGCCTCAATTTATTCTATATTTTAATAAATACTGAACTATTATGTAACAAGTATAATATTAATAGTAATATAAGTAACGTCGTTATTATTAACAGGGTGACATATTCAGCGGGTTGAACGACGGATTGCTGAGCCGGGCGGAGGCTTTGGCTGCGGTGGATATCGGCAAGCATCAGTCGGGCCCTCAACCGGGTCCACCACTACCACAGCTGAAGCACGACATGGTGTATCACCACGGAGTAGGAGGTCCACCACCACATAATGCAAGGCCACATCAGGTACTATCGAATTCCTCTCGTAAGTTTCAACTCATTATCATCTCAGATAGTTCGAAAGCAAGAAATAAAAATATATAAGGTAAAAAATGTATTAAACTGTCATAAAATTTATTTCTTAAATTACGATTCTTATGTAATTGATGGAAAGTAAGAAATATGCATGCACCTACTGTCTTTCCATTTTCCAACGTAGATAACGAAGTCATCGTCTCAATATTAAAATATTTGTTACATTTTTTTTTGGGATAAAATCTTGTAACAAGGACAAAGCTACAGAAGTCAATAAAATTATAGTAAAAATTTATGGTTACATTTTTGCTTTTTTTGTTTTATTTAATTTATGAAAAAAACAGATCTTTATATAAATAAAATTTTTGTTTAAGTTAAGTTCTATATATATGTTTGAAATACTGTCACCAGTATTGTAAACAGAGTTGAAGAATTTTTATCATGATTTACTGCAATTCAAATTTTATAGACGTAAAATAAAACGGGGAGGAATCATCACTTACCAATCATTTGAATCGAGTTCAAAGACGATAAAACTAAAGGGCACTCGTAAAATTGTTGGCAAATTGGTACACTCCGCGCCTCTGCCTAAACATAAATAATAATAATAAAAGTAAATGCATATCTCTATGTTCCATACACCTTGGAAAATCTTTTAGTCGTCCTATGTTGGACGAGGGTTTGATCCTCAGGGATTAGTACGGCGTGGGGTAGGCCAGAGGGCTGTAACGTGTAAGAAATATACTCTCTCCTTTATAAAAATGAGGTAACTTTATGCACTGTTCGATATAATTTTGATAGAACTCGTCCCTAGATTTTATATACTTCCACATTATATCGTTATGTATTACCATTTTATTTGATAATACGACCAATTACATTTATTGTAACATTAAATCATAGATCAGTTACCTATTTTAAATGTTTGATATTATAGTTTAACAATTTGAAATGATTCAAATTAATTTAATTTAAGTAATTTTGTGCTGATATTTGAGTGCCGATCTATTGTTATTCCTGTTATCCAATTATTTCCTACTTTATATATAATTATGCATTTTGTTATTATTATAAACATAGCTTAAGGTAATAGAACACAAAAATGGAGAAAGTATATGTCTTGAAAAGAAATTTGTACTAAAAATACACATTGGTTATCTATTATAAACTCATAGGTACCTTTATCTCTTACAGTTTATTATAAAGACATTACTTTGTCATATAAACTGTTTAAGTTCAAGTTTTTAACACCAGAATATTTGTTGAATATTAATGTAAAATGTTAACTGTATAGTTAAATTTATATGTCCCTAATAAATAATTAATTAACAACTCATTCATATAACTAGCAAAATTATTTAAGCGATAAAAGTTGTCTAAACTTATCTAAAGAACAAAATGCTGTTGTTTTCTTACATGGTAGGGGGATAAAATTTCGTCTTACATCTTTGCCCAATTTCCCCTCTATACTAGTTCTTAGCCTTCGTAATGTGTACTTTATAACCCACGGAACCCAAACACCATCGTCGTTTGGGGTCCCATATATGTCTCTAATCTCTATAAAAACAATTGTAGGGTCGACCTGTATATTGAAAGATGATCGAATTATTTTGAGATACATACATACATATATTTATTTTAATAGAATATATTTCTTGAAATGCTTTGCAAATAAAATAAAATCATAATATTTAAATTTTAATGTACGATAGAAATATTATAAAAAACTGAAATATTATACATTCGTAACTCATGATATCAAAACTAAAAAAATAATTAATTCATTTAATTATATTTATATTCAATAATTCATAATATATCCCATATTTCGGTGTTATGTGCGAATTGTTTCGTTTTCATACAGCTAGCAAATAGGCCTAGGTAAAGCTTAAATACAAATTGTAAACTGGAAAGGGGAAGAAAAAACACGTTTACTCATGGGGATACAGGACATATGAGCATTTTTACTGCTGGCGAACAATTGTCACTACAGTCGCTAGGGACGAGGGCAGCCCGTTATATTAACGTACTTTTAGATGTTACTTGTTCATGCAAAGTTTGTTTTTATATAATTTATTATATACTAATTATAAACAACTTCAAATTTTCAGTAGGAACATCTCCATTTAAACAAAGATAACACAGAATTAAAATGATTCACCTTTATATAAGTTTAACACGCGTTATATCTATAGTATGATTCGAACATGCAAATTCTACTTAAATAGTAATGATTCGCATCGATATAACGAGTAACAGAGGGTAACCAGTCAAAACACATCACAGCAATCATAACGCACTCTCACGACCCATCAAACTCAAAACACATACGTATTATACACTTATGTACAGGGGTTACTTAGCGAGAGTATGGCCACTAGCACATCGCTTAATATCTTTGATATTTAATTAAATTAAAACATAATGTCCCTGAATATATGTGTTTATATACTTCTTGCAGCCTCCTATTTGTTGATGTTTTTAACAAATAATAGTGCCGAATTTACAAATAACTATCTATAAGCAATTAATTGGACTGCTATAAAAGATTCAATTATTCATATGTACCGAAAGGAAAAGCTTCATTTTGATGACATTTATTAAAAGTTTACACTTTAACTAATACACTTTGTCGCATACAATATATATATTCCGCGTGCGTTATGGCCACTTTTTACACCCCATATAAATTTGGCCACTTGTTCAAATCATAACTGTGCGATACAAATCACTATTAACGGTGTATAAATTATTTAATATCCACTTTAAATCGCATCGCGAAGGGGTGTTTGAATCGATACAAACTTGATGTTATGTTTAAAATAATTACATCGCATTTTCATTACACGAAATATTGTTGTACATTTGTCTGTGGCTGAACTTTTGAAATTGATTGAGTTTTAAACTAAAGTTAAAATAAATGATACAAGTCCTAAAGTAAAAGGTATAGTTTTAATTAATAAAATATTACTTTCTTGACAGTTTTAGTGTAAATGTAACATAACTTTGTTAACCTTAGTTAAAAATTTAAACGTGTGTTTACACTATAGAAGTGACCCTTCTTTGGGCAATTTTAAAGTAATTCATTGACGATAACCGGATTAAAAATTCATATATTTTGCAGGTGGTGTCTGAATTAAATCTATTGTAGGTGTGTCTGTATTTAATATTTATGTTACCCTTCACTCGTCAAGAATAACAGTCAGCCGACATTAAGCATCATTATGTAATGTTACTTAAATGGCTTATTGACATTATTCTGAAGCCTGTGATTGTTAAAAAAACTACCACGTAATAGCCCTATTTGAATATCAAATCACGACATTTAACGATATTGACGCCGTGTAATTTATAGTGCGCTACCTTTCAGAATTAGCATCAAATGTTTCAGAATTACACAGTAATTGTCTATTTTAATAGTTGCGAGTTAACAATATATCGAGAATTGTTTGATTAATTATATGATATCAAAATTTTAAACTTTTATTTAAAGAAATATAGTAGAATAAGAATTAGAAATATAAGAATTCTTGTTACTCTCAACATATTTTAAAGACCCCCTAAAAATATAAAAGAAAATTTATATTTTAAATTAATTACTATATTTTTATTTTTCCCTTTTTATGTTTAGTCTAACATTTCATATATGAAATCACAGGAACTGCAGAAGTATTGTTATACGTGTTATGGCTATCTTATTGTATACAAAACTGGTAACATGTTCCAAAAAACAATAACGTATGTGGCATGTAACATTACGTGCTACACGGACTAGTGCCGTATAATTGTGATCTACCGATCCCCCGGGAACAAAACTGGGACCCACTGCACCACCCCTTGAAGCGCAAAGGAAAAATTGTTAACGAAAGACTTACGGCCCGCTACTATACTAAGATAAATTACTTGATGTAGATTACCAATTGTTTATAAAGACTTCGCTTAAATTACTTGTTTAAATAAAAAAATGAGTTAAATAATTATAAAGTTAAGATTAGATTTTATTTTATTCGGTTTGTACAATTACAAAAAAATATATCATGATTAATATGCTCTAAGTAACTCCAATTCTGTATGCGTAATTGAATTAACTGATTTAAATATTTTTATATAACTTTTAATTACAAAAATATTTAATATTTTATCACAATAATTGTAACATATGAATATGTTCGCATGGCATTCAAAACTTAACAAACATTAATTTTCGTTACAAAGCCGGTCAACAACGTAAGCATATTGGTAAAACACTTGCAACCAATCAACGTCACAACAGACTCACCCTACTATGAAAAAAACAAGTGTTTGCACTCATAAAGAATGAGAGCAAATCTGCACAAAGATGATTGTTTATGTTTCCATATCGTCCCCGAGTGAGGCTATTGTTACCACCCCCCTTTCTGCTTACAATAAAATGTCTGATTTAACATGAATACAGAAGTTAATTCGGCGAACAACAATAAAGATCACGTCACCCCCATAGCTATAGTAATCCTCTTAATAGCAGAGAATTTGACAGTATGATAAAAATGAATTACAAAAGCCATTCTTTCCACAGATGGGCCACCATGGCATGGAAGGACTAGACATGCTTGATCCGCTCACGTCCTCATCAATGACCACCTTAGCACCCATGGGTGAAGCCGCACCACCACATCATCAACTGCATGGCTATGGCGCTATGAACCATGTTATGAATCACCATCATCACGCAGGAGGCCTTGGACATGCCCCGCCAGCACACCTTGGACATCCGGCTGCTGCCTTACACCCAGATACAGATACAGATCCTCGCGAACTTGAGGCATTTGCCGAAAGGTTCAAACAAAGAAGAATAAAACTGGGAGTAACTCAGGCTGATGTTGGTAAGGCACTAGCTAATCTTAAACTGCCAGGTGTTGGAGCGTTATCCCAAAGTACAATTTGTAGATTCGAAAGTTTAACTCTAAGTCATAACAACATGATAGCATTAAAACCTATTTTACAAGCTTGGTTAGAAGAAGCAGAAGCGCAGGCAAAAAATAAAAGACGGGACCCAGACGCACCCAGCGTTTTGCCAGCGGGAGAAAAAAAAAGAAAGAGAACATCCATAGCGGCACCAGAAAAGAGAAGTCTCGAAGCTTATTTTGCTGTTCAGCCGCGTCCATCTGGTGAAAAAATTGCAGCGATTGCAGAAAAGTTAGATCTCAAGAAAAACGTAGTTCGGGTATGGTTCTGCAACCAGAGGCAAAAACAGAAACGTATGAAATTCGCTGCACAACACTGACCGACGGGTGGCGGCGCGGCCTTGTTGTATCCAGGTACTGGGTACGGGTACTGAGTGGGACGCCGCGCCACCTCGGCCACGACCATGGCCAACACAAACACATTACTAACATCGGCGGCCCACCGCCACATTTGACTTTTATGTGAGCAATCATATGATCTCATTTTTATAGCATCTGAATATTTATTTTGATACTTTTTAAAACAAGCGCAATGTAGTCACTAGTGTAGATATATTTATAGTTTACCGTTATTTAATTTCGATTACATGAAAAAATTGACATATAATTATATTTTTCGAGACACAGGGTATATAATTGATTATATACATATCATTACGATATACAAATCGTACTTATCATATTATGTACTTAGTTTACCTTTAACGCGCCGAGTTTTGATGTTTTCCGAATATCGATATACATGAAAATTAAAACCAGGATTTTTAAGAAAATGTGCCTTGCAAATAATCATATTCTGTGTTTAATATTAGTAACTGTATTTGGAGATACGATATGGATATAATAAAATATCCTTTCGGAATATTATGAGAAGATCTTGATATCAACTTTTCAATTATTAGTTATGACTGCTACTAGAGTAGGTAAAAGTAAAATAATGAGAAATAATGAATATTGAAGTTTTCAAAATTACTTAGGTATTTATAAAATTGCTACCAAATAAAATTATTGTATCGTAATCCTTTCTAGGAGCAGTCAAATGGTACTTAGTTTTTGTTATTGTTATGTTGATCCTGTATGAATAAAACTTGTACAAAGTAATTTTAAGTGCCCCGTAATGGATAAATTGTAGATAGTACATATTCTTTATTATTAATTTAAATATACGATGAGTACATAAGTTTAACTATTTTATTTGGGCTTCATAACAGATTAATCAATACTTACCTACTCTAATCTCTAAACAAAACGGCACAATTTATAGTTAAGGTTGTTAGTGACATTTAGCCAAAATAGTATTAAAAGCCATCTGTAAATACATCACTTTTTAAATAATATTTAGACATTAGTGACACATAGTTACTAATATGAAATTAGAACATCGCGGGTGAATTTGAATTTTATTTAGTAGTATTTTTAAAGGTTTTGTAGGTACAATTCTATATAAAAATATTATTTATTTATACCTTGAGAGCTTGCCTACAAATTTTTCAACCGCTCCTTTTACCTAGTAAGCGTAGCGATCATTTTAAATTTTCAAGCATCAAAGCTTAACAATAAAAAAAGCAAAATAATATATAAATAATATTTTTAAATGAAATTTTGTAAATATAGAATTAAGAAGAAACGTGCAATCTAGATCTTGGTAATTATTATTAATTAAATACGTCTTAAAATTAATATATAGGATCTTATGTTTTACACTTATAATGCATAGGTTTTTAACGCTTGATCTTACAGAATCTAGTCATACATACATACATTTATTTTATGTCATCCTAACAATATTTATATGTAATTAAAAACTTTAATTTCTATGCTTTTGAATTCTTCATAAGTATCAAAGTATAAGTATAAATATTTTATATAATTTATTGAAATGCACGGTCCTGTGAATACTGTAACTTGGAGGAAAAAGTAAACAGCAACTTATAATACAAAATTGTTATATGATTTAACTGCTTACGTTAAGTTTCAAATTATAACATAGAAATTATTGCAATGACTTGGATCAATCTGACATATGTTCTTAGTTAAGGATTTCATGATGAAATACATAATTACATATAGTAATTTGTTTTAAATATTCAAAACTTCAGGAAATTTATTGATACAACGGCTAAGTCTAGATGAAATATGTAAAAACATGCTAAAAGTAGATTAATACTTACCAAGTGTTAATAAATGTTTTTTATTTATTGATAGTATGCTTTAATTCGGGCTGGAGTTAATAAATGTTGTTTCTTTCTATTTTTATATAAAATCTGCGTTATGTCATTGAACAACAACTATGGCTTAAAAAATGAAATTTACAAATATCTAGATAATAATAATTCCTTAATATATTTTTATATCCAAGTAGAATAATTACAAATTTAACGTAAGCAGCAATTTTAACCTACTATTCTTATGAATTTTTCTTTCAATAACATAATAAATTTAAATTAATAAAATAAGTGGTATCTTTGTCATATAATGCAGTAACATCGATGTTATGGGGGCCAATGAATTATCAAATAATATAGAGACCACTAATGAGCAATATGTGGCTAGCCTTGCAACGATGATAGTTTACAAAGTATTCAATAAACTGTTATCATAATATTCAGTTTTATACAATATGTAACATTATTTCCTTTATGCAAATTAAAAGGCCTGTTTGTAAATTTATGTTGTACAATAAAATTATAAAATGTGACTTAAAAGCTGTTACAATTTTTTTTATCAGCGCTAAGTTTAAGTAGACATTAGTAGATTCTCTTGCAATTTATTAATTCTTAATTACATTATTAATATATAATAAAAGAACAAAAAATTACTTGGAACGAATAAACAATAAAATAAATATAGAAATATTAGTAAAATTCTTGTTGTTTCATTGCATCCTTTTAAAACTTTTATTGAAACTGATTTCATTCGGACGCAAAGAAATCATTTGATTTATGATTGCTAATACAAATTAGTAGCAAGTATATCATAGGAATAATTTTTACACAAGTCGTTTAGCCAAAAGGGACGATGAATTTATAATGTTTCGTCTAAAAAAATTACTAAGAATACTATCTGACTTCAGATAAATATCTCTGAGACTACACATTGACATATAATATATAAGGGCTTCAAATAAAAATATCTATTAATCCACCCTGATTCACGCATGGTAAGTCATACTTAAATTTTAAAACTAATAGATTTATTAGTAGTGTATTGAATTTATTATACATTTATGTAGTTGTAAAAGTAATTGATTCTTTTGCTCTGACTTTAATATTTCATTTGCATTAAGTGTTTTATCAAGTAATTGCCATACAGAGTTAAATGTTTTTATAAGTTTATTATGATATAATAAAGATATTTTTTACCTTTTTCCATTCCAGGATCGAAAAATAGCGTACTTACCGATTATACATTGTAAACTCAATTAACAAGAAAAATCATTTTTGTTTTGCCAGCTTTCTTATGATTACTAAAATAATTTAGACGTTTGGATATTATAGTTAGAAAGGCCCTTAAAAGACTTAGTTAACTGTGATAGATTTAAAAAGAGTTTCTGTATTTGTAAAATGAAATAAAAAATATATTACACCATAGTCATTGGCCAGTGTTCGTGATGTTAATCGGATTATTAAAAATATCGTTCAAACTATATTAAATAAGCTGTGATATTTCAGTTTTTTCATTTCACTTTGTATTTGAAGTGATTTGAAGTGAAAATGCAGGAATACAATAAAAAATAATGCTGATAAATTTACTCCGAAAGCTGATTCTTTTTTTTATACACTCTTGTTTAAGTACCTTATCTTATTTTTATGTAGATCGACTGTAAGCAAACATATATGAAAAGTAACGAAAAAAATGTACACTCTCTTTTGTAGAACAACGTTTGAGACGCTGTAGTCATTAGAGTGACATCCACTCATAACATTATCTACACAGAGACTTACTACACAGCAGGTATCATAACTGTTAACCTATTTTTAAATAAAAAATGTCCTAATGTCCTTTTTTTCTTACAAAATTTAACTTTACATATATCACGTTTTCACTTTAAACATTAAAGTCAGAACTTAAAACTTTCGTATAAAATTATTAAATACTGAGAAAATATCGATGTATGAACTGAGTTTATTTTTTCAAACCCCCTTTTAAATTAGAGGATACGGTAGTTTACAACTTGAAAGCAATCTCGCGATGAAAACAATCTTGATTTATTAAAGTAATGTATAAATTAAACGCTTTGTTAAATTACAAATCTTGTGCTCATCGACCGTAATGTATTGTTTTCTTTTTAATTTCTAGGGTTCTGTTACTGTAAAAAGATAATGTTTTAATTAATGCTATTGATAGCTGCAACAAGAGATAAGATATAGCAAAAAAAAAACAAATATTTATCACAACGCTTACAAACAATCATTGAATTAAGTACAATAAGTGTAGAAAATGAAAATATAGAAGTGCTTATTAAATTTAATTTGAATTAATCAAATGTTGCGACAATTTCAAAACACAGGCTAAATTATTAAGTAACACTCATGGGCGCGGGATGTCTTTTTTATCCAATCAAATTTTATCCATTAGAAAATAAATAAACTAGTGAATGAGATTTGTGACTAACTCACTACGTTATAGTTTATGACAAAATTCATTTGAAGTTTTTTCGTGCTGGTTCTTTTAGTTTCGGTCCATGATTTTAAAGTTAAATTTGACACCGTCCCAACATAGGCAGTATAAATTGTATCTAATGCATACTTTGAAATATAAAGACAATGAAGTTAGAATGCAATAAAAACACATGCCTACATTTCAAAGATATATAGAAAAAGCAACTGTACAATATAACTATAATTTAATATACAATTTCATTATAGTATAATTAAATTACATTTATATCTTACAATTGTACATACTTTTCATACAAAAAATCAAATGGAATGAGTTGAGCGAAATTTATAACACTAAATAAATGAAAAATGTCTAATACAGTATATAGGGGAGAGTTGGTTATATCGTACTAGCATTTAAATCGTATCACTTCTAAATCTCCCATTTAATGAATATTTTTTTCTACACTGACAACGCCAAATCGTGGCCCTGAACCATCCCTCTTCACTCACTAGTTTAAATCGACGTGAGTTAACAACTGTGCACGTAATAAAAATTTTTTTTGTAGGAATTAATATAAATATTGTCGTACATTCGTAAGGAGATAACTCGTAATCAAGGTAAGCTATAGTTATACAGTTTTTTTTTATTATTCCACTATTGTATACTAGATTATTGGGGGTTTTAGTTGCGTGTCTAAGTTTTGAGTTTATGCCGG